CTCCTCGCTCAGGATCAGTGCCGTGATGTGCAGCTTTGTCTGTGCCTGGATGTGGATTGCATTTTACGGGATCGATAAAGCATATCTCTTCAGTTACAAGTGCTCCCTGTGGCTCTCCCAACACAGAGCTCCGTTTTTCGGATTTTGCTCTATTAAACATTTGGAAAGAGAAACAACACTTTATTTAAAAAAGTGAGATCACGCTTTCGCAAATGTTCTCGTCCTGCTTGAGGTGACCTGCACCAGACCACACATGTACTCACCCGGTGGGGACATGGCTGAGAAACACCAGGACCTCAACATAAGCTCGTCGATATATCATGTCCAGGTATCTCTTGCTCATCCCGCTCATTGCCTTGATGTGACGCTTAATATGTATCTCCCGCAATCCTTCAAACGCGTTGGAATGTATGCCCATGACAGGATCGACGAAGCTCAGCAGAGTATGGCTGACCCAGCTGTGCTCACAATGCCTGTCCGCCAACATGCGATTGTTGACGAGCGTATGCAAACAAGAACCTCGCTCCTCACGTACGTGACGAGCTTAATCTAAGGTAAAATGCCAATTAGGGGCCGGTGACCAGTTAAGGGCCGGATTCGGTTAGCCAATAGGCAATTCGGAATTTTAGGCTTATCTATTTTCATTGGCCACTACTAAGGTATCATATAAGAGATTATTTAGCAACCCATAGTGAAATCAAGCGGCCCTTAATTGGCATGGCCGTCACATTTTATGCACTGTTTTAATTTGTCCTACTGAACGCACCATAGCTGATGTAAAACAATTTAATAACCAGGGAAATATACAATTGTGTCAGCTTTTGATTGATGCCAAGGCCATATTTTACTTTTTACTAGATCAAAAGATACAATCAAAACAAGAGAAGGTTGCTTTGAACGGCCCTTAAATTGGTATTTTCCCTTAATGAATGCGAGTCCCGGTAATCAGAAAAGAAACTTAGTAGCTCATATCGAATGCAACATCATAGGTTTTCGGTACTCACCTGGGCTTAATAAACGGCTTAATAATGGGCCGCAGCGTCGCTTGTCGTACACAATGCGACTGACCCGTCGTCCTGTCAACGGCCCTCGACAAGCCAGAACGCTTTTGTAATGACGGCACGACCATACTTCTACTT